TTCTGTATTACCGAAAATCAATTGCCGTATATATACCGTGTTGTGTTTGTGTACGTGTATGCATGCGTGTATTTTTATGTGTGTGCGCGTTGCGCGCGCTTCTGCGTCACGATCGATTCACTCGATCGAGAATCGACAATCGCGATGGAAGCTAACGTTACCATTTATATTCATAGTTCTCTTTGAATTGAAAATTACAGTCTTTTTTTTTTTCATTTTTCCCCTTTTTCTCATTTTTTTCCACTCACAACCATTCAACCAAAATTCCTTTCCCCGATTATATTATTATCGATCGAGATCTGGTGAAAAGATCTTGCGTCTTCCATCGCGTGGAAGAGGCGAGATTAAAGAGAAAGAAAGGATGAGAATGTGGGCGGAAATTGGGATGATAGGCGATACGTTTCGAGCGGGATGAAAGGAGCAGCAGGTAGGTGCCTGAAGAGACGTAAAAAAAAAAAGGAAAAAAAAAGTGACCAGCAACAAAGAGGGAAAATATGAGGGGAGAGGGGAGAGCGATCGAGGAGAAACGAAAGAGCCCGCCCGATTGGACGAAAACTTTCTAAACGGACGATCGGAATCCGCCGAATAAATCTTCAAAAGATATTTATTCTCGTGAAATTTACGTTTGTACAAAGAGAAGAACGAAAAAGACGGATAATTTTATTATCGATCTCGCTCGACGAACGTCAACCGATGCGGTTTCGGGACGAGAGTGATACCGCACTCGCCTTCGAGATCGGCCGTCTCATTAAATGGTACAGACACGACGAACGTACGTAGGATTCGGCCGGCGAACAAGAACAGTATCATTCTGGCGAGCTCCTCTCCGACGCAAACGCGTTTCCCTTTGAAACGAACGAGAAAATAACGATGGAAATAAATAAAAGATAAATAAAACGAGAGGATGAAATGAAAAAAAAAAAAAATTAATCGATTTTTTTACCATTTTGAAACGGGAGAAACGATTCCGGTTTAAAGAAACTTCCATCGTCGGACAGGAATCTGTCGGGTCGGAATTCGAGAGGATCGCGCCAGTAAGCAGGATCCGTGTGCACGGCCCACTGCATTGGAACGATCATAGCGCCGCATGGCACATCGTAACCGCCTATTTGCACATCCTGGACGAACAAATATTTCCATCGAGGAAAGTTGAGACGAGCTCTTTCCCTCTTTAACTGTGTATATATATATATATATCGTTGGATAATAAAATACCTCTGATGTCCCGTGAGGAATACCGAGGGGCGTAACACTCCTTATCCTTTGCACCTCGGCTATGGCAGCCTCGAGACGAGGCATGGCCGTTCTGTCGTTCAAAGTCGGCTGCTCCCCTTCTTTCAAACATACGTCCATTTCCGATTGTACTTTCTCCTGTGGGAAAATTATTTATTACATTTTTTTTAGTATGGCAATAAAATTTGTTGTACACTTTTATATATAATTTATCATATGTATTTATTTATTTTTTATTATATAGAGAGGTAATGCGCAACCTGTTCCGTAGGATAAGCAGCCATAAATAAGAGAAACCAACGAAGGGTGGTCAAGGTGGTGTCGGTTCCGGCGCCGAACAGATCGGCCAATAAATGATAAAGCTGTGGCTCCGTGAAATATCCCAATTCCCCGCTACTTTTCCTCCTCATTTGCTCGTCGAATGCCGCTAAAAAGCTGTCGACTTTACTCTCCGTCACGTGCTCGATTCGTGACCGATGCTCGTCGAGTATTTGCCGATATATTTTGTGCGTTTTATCCTTCCCGTCCACGATGGAACGTATCACTCGGCCGTATCGCGGTAGAAATCTGTGCAATAAACCTCTCGAACAGTTCACAAGTAAGATTGAAAAATATCGTCGAAGAGGAATACGTGTTTACCTGAGAAAGGGTAAAAAGTTGAGCGGTCCAGCGACACCGATTTGCTTCACTCCCTCTTCTTGCAGATGTCTCAGCCATCTCCAAGTTTCATCTTCCTCCTCGTACGTTTTTCCAAACACGATGCTATTGATAAGATTGCCCAAACAGTGGTGAAGCGTGTCCAACGGATCGATCGGCCCATTTGCCGCACGATTTCTCAATACCTGTTGCGTGTATGCGTAGATGAAAAAGGAAGAGGATCGTTTATATATTCATCTCCTTTTATCAATTAGCAATTATCAAGAGGGGGAGAGAGAGAGAGAGAGAGAGAGAGAGAGTT